GATGGTAAAATCATCTGCTCAAATTGAACCCTTTTAAGTTTCAAAAGGTAACGAAATATGCTTTATTTTATTCTTCTGTAATTCTTCTTAAAATATCGAGAGTTTTTTGCTATTGCAGCAGTTAGAGATCCATCCGTGCTGGATATATTGGTCCGGGTCGCTAAAGACCCGAATATGTAATAATGATTGGCGAAACATTCATGCATTTAAGGGTTAAATCTTTAGTTCACATACTAGTATTAGTTTTCAAATTACATATATTCACGTATTGGAAAGGAAATGGATATCTTGTCAGAAGTATTAGGATATGATGCCTGCCGCAACCTTACTGCAAAGTTGTTGTTAAAAAGTCAGTCGTGCAAACAATTACCAATATTTAGCCATTAACCATTTTTCTGAACATAATTTTATATGGACAGAAAAATCATGCTTTGAATCAAGATTGTGACATTGTTAATAACCCATCATCTTTGCAACAGGCTTGCGAGTGCGAATCAAGCAATATCTTCTCTTTTAGATATTGGAAAATTGGAAAACACAGCATGAAAGGATCCTGGCGAGATCAAACATGTATTTTGATGAAGGAAAAGAACATTGGGTCACATAAGAGGTGCAACCTCAGCTTTGCTCATATTTCCATTCATTCTATTACTAACCTGTAATACAGGCGCATTCTCCTCCCAAACTGACACAGTATATACTTATAAATAAACATTAGAATGAACTTTACACCCCTGACCCCTGATATTTTGCATGCATTATGTCTGGGATAAATGAAAATGTCAGTGGCTCCTATACTGGAGATATATGAACAGTAATATGTAGAGTTAATGGGTTTGAGAAGAACCTTTGGCACTGCATACCTGGGTTAATGGTGTTGTGCTTCCTGTGTGTACAGTTCGCTAAATGGACATCCCTTAAGTCAGCAAATAACATAAATGAGGTGCTATTCATTTGATACAGAATATATGCCTTGTGGGAAGATGATGGAAAATAACCACTGAAAGTACTATAGTGACAAACAAAAAGGCATTGATACGCTTTCTGACAGTTTTATACCTTGACAAGCTTGAACTGACTCCCAGTGAAAGGTCTTTTATCAGTAAAACTGCATATAAAAAGGCAAAATGGCCTGTCAAGAATTGAGAAATATTTGACATCCTGATTAAACACTTTTTACATAACATTCTTCATTTTTTAGTTTCTTGCAGCATATCCTAAAAACCTTACATTGCTCAAAAAATTAAAAGCTAAAAAATTAGCCTCATCAGGACTGGAGAATTATCATGTCATGCCCGTCACAGAAATAAATTCAAGTCTGATAAATTCTGTGGAGGAATTACTTCTCAGTTCAAGTTGCCCTTGTAGCATTATTGATGGTGTTGTTAGATCGGCTCATTAGATATGTCTTTTACTATTCATCTTCCAATTACATGTGTGGTGCTTGTTGACTTCAAAGTGATTTCTTATGGTGTACCACCATCAAAGATGTTCAGGAAGAAGACAAAACAGAGAGATTAAAAATGGCTTTTAATGGGTCTGGTAGCACAGACAAAGATCAGATGTGATCCCTTTAGAGTTTAAAATGCTCAAGCCTCCAACCAATATCTAGTACTTAAAATACAAACTGATCAATGAAGAGTGATTTGAAACATTATAACATTATGTGACTATGCATCATCTTTGATGCAGAAAATAAAGACTGGTTGTGTAATCCGTGTCTTTTGTGCTGCTTGTACTTCTTGCTGAATTAACTTGAATCACAGTCCTTATAAAAAAGATTAAAACTATCATTTGCATGATATCGGATTTCCTTTGCAGTCCTGGCTTTTTCCTGTATTAAAAGTTTAAATAGAAGAACCTGTTTAGAACCCAACTACTTTATCAAACTATAATTACAAAAAGTAGAAATGCAAATGAGTTTCTTGGATTTCTTAATGTTACACTGTCAGATATGCAAAATAAATCTATTGTATCTCTTGCTCTGGCTACTGTGTATAGACCACCAGGGCCGTATACAGATTTCCTAAAAGAATTTGCAGATTTCTTCTCAGACCTATTGGTTACTGTTGATAAAGCGCTAATTGTCGGAGATTTTAACATTCACGTTGATAATACAAATGATGCATTAGGACTTGCGTTTACTGACCTAATAAACTCTTTTGGAGTCAAGCAAAACGTCACCGGGCCCACTCATCGTTTTAATCATACGCTAGATTTAATGAACATGACCATTTCCTTGTATCGTGCATGCTGCATATTACTGATATTAACTACACTGTACAAAATTATAAACGCAACACTTTTGTTTTTGCCCCCATTTTTCATGAGCTGAACTCAAAGATCTAAGACTTTTTCTGTGTACACAGAAGGCCTGTTTCTCTCAAATATTGTTCACAAATCTGTTTAAATCTGTGTTAGTGAGCACTTCTCCTTTGCCGAGATAATCCATCCACCTCACAGGTGTGGCATATCAAGATGCTGATTAGACAGCATGATTATTGCACAGGTGTGCCTTAGGCTGGCCACAATAAAAGGCCACTCTAAAATGTGCAGTTTTATCACACAGCACAATGCCACAGATGTCGCAAGTTTTGAGGGAGCGTGCAATTGGCATGCTGACTGCAGGAATGTCCACCAGAGCTGTTGCCCGTGAATTTAATGTTCATTTCTCTACCATAAGCTGTCTCCAAAGGCGTTTCAGAGAATTTGGCAGTACATCCAACCGGCCTCACAACCGCAGACCACGTGTAACCACACCAGCCCAGGACCTCCACATCCAGCATCTTCACCTCCAAGATCGTCTGAGACCAGCCACCCGGACAGCTGCTGCAACAATCGGTTTGCATAACCAAAGAATTTCTGCACAAACTGTCAGAAACCGTCTCAGGGAAGCTCATCTGCATGCTCGTCGTCCTCATCGGGGTCTCGACCTGACTGCAGTTCGTCGTCGTAACCGACTTGAGTGGGCAAATGCTCACATTCGATGGCGTCTGGCACTTTGGAGAGGTGTTCTCTTCACGGATGAATCCCGGTTTTCACTGTACAGGGCAGATGGCAGACAGCGTGTATGGCGTCGTGTGGGTGAGCGGTTTGCTGATGTCAACGTTGTGGATCGAGTGGCCCATGGTGGCGGTGGGGTTATGGTATGGGCAGGCGTATGTTATGGACAACGAACACAGGTGCATTTTATTGATGGCATTTTGAATGCACAGAGATACCGTGACGAGATCCTGAGGCCCATTGTTGTGCCATTCATCCACGACCATCACCTCATGTTGCAGCATGATAATGCACGGCCCCATGTTGCAAGGATCTGTACACAATTCCTGGAAGCTGAAAACATCCCAGTTCTTGCATGGCCAGCATACTCACCGGACATGTCACCCATTGAGCATGTTTGGGATGCTCTGGATCGGCGTATACGACAGCGTGTTCCAGTTCCTGCCAATATCCAGCAACTTCGCACAGCCATTGAAGAGGAGTGGACCAACATTCCACAGGCCACAATCAACAACCTGATCAACTCTATGCGAAGGAGATGTGTTGCACTGCGTGGGGCAAATGGTGGTCACACCAGATACTGATTGGTTTTCGGACCCCCCCGGACCCCCCAATACAGTAAAACTGCACATTTTAGAGTGGCCTTTTATTGTGGCCATGCAGCCTAAGGCACACCTGTGCAATAATGATGCTGTCTAATCAGCATCTTGATATGCCGCACCTGTGAGGTGGATGGATTATCTCGGCAAAGGAGAAGTGCTCACTAATACAGATTTAGACAGATTCGTGAACAATATTTGAGAGAAATAGGCCTTTTGTGTACATAGAAAAAGTCTTAGATCTTTGAGTTCAGCTCATGACAAATGGGGGCAAAAACAAAAGTGTTGCGTTTATAATTTTGTTCAGTGTATGTGTGATTTCTAAGGACACCAATTACAGACAGAAAGAACTGATCTGAGCTGTTTGGTGACTGTTGGTATAATGTATGTAAGAACACTATAAATGTAAGCATGGATCGCCACCGTTGGTTGAGCTCCTCCCGTGCCTTTCTCCTCTCTTCCTCCAGGCCTTTCTGCAGCTCTTCAGCTATCTTTCTTCTCAGTTCAGACTCATGCACTAAACAAAAGACAAAACATGCATATTAGATGTTGAGCTACTGCTTATACGCCATATGGTTATTCCAGAGCGTTTGATTTTGTTGTAGCATTTCATAGGAGGTCCTAGAATGGCAATGTCCTGTGGGTAACAAAGTTTAATGTTGTATTGTACACTTGAAGTATCTTTGAGGCAAGTTTGTACTTGTTTGTAAAGAAGTTTGTAAGCAACTACAGTGAGGTAGGATGGTATTTTGAGCCCTCAGGACGTCTCTGCCTTATGAGGCAAAGCGAGAGAAACCGAAATACAGAGGACAGGGGTCCTATACGCCTATGCACTTACAATGACTATAAAAATCACTTTCAAACACACACACTTCAAAAAATACACTTTTCACAACTTAGTGTTGATATCAACACCGCCACAGTCAAACGTGTCAGTGTGTGTCCTGTTCCTTTATCTGGATGGCTAATTGTCCGTGAAAGCACAGCGGAGATATAAAATGGACAAACTCTTAGCTGCCAGTCGAAAAAAGCAGCAGTACTGCAGCACTGCAGAGGCCTGGAGCTACTGCATGACAGGAAGTCCAAGTGTTTTGCAGATGGAGACACAGGCTTATAGTTTGTAAAAACAACCAACAATTAGTCTAAAAAAATACAAATAGAAAATAAACAAATAAATTTAAAAAGTACTAAAGCAATCGTTCCTCACAGACATGTCCAAGTCAGATCTTGTCACAAATCCAAGTTGAGTCTTTCATGGCAAGTCTAGAAGGAAATATAAGAGGTTTTACTTAAATCAAAAGATAATTTTATCTTTAAAATCATGTAGTTCTGAAATAAATAATTTATTCATTATTCACTTGTTAACTTGTTAAGGGCTGGATAATTTAGCTAAAAAAATAAATAATAAATAAATAAATAAAACGAACTTTTTGGCAAACTTCTTTCTGCAAACAGCACAGATTTCTCTCCCCACAGTAAATAAATGAGAACTTTATGGTAATCACGATTTGTTTTGCAACATATTGAAAAAATATATTTCTTCTTGGACACTAGTGATGTTCAAAAGTCTCTAATCCAGAGTAAAAACAAAACAAAACAAAACAAAAAATTCAAAACAAAAAACAACACAAATAAAATTAAAAAAACAAGAAAGAAACAAACAAAACAAAACAATATTTAACTAAAAAAGTCTGTCAAATCTCAAGGCAAGTCCATTTAAATTCAATCCATGTCTCAAATCCTCAATTCAATAAAATGTAAGTCAATACAAATAAATTGATTTTTGCGACTTACTGTAAAGTGAGACTCAAGTTTTCATCTTTCAGTTTTAAAACGTTGAAAACGTTGTTAAAGACTCTTATATGTATTTATACTTAACATATGAAAGGAAGACGCAGTAGCTGCCATTAATTTAAAGTGATGTTTTATAAGCAGCCGCCGGAAGGAGCAGTCACTATGGGTGCCATATGGTTTGGTTGTATAACAATGTTCTTTTTAGAAACAATTTGAGACTGTAAAGCCGAGAGAGGAAACCTGTTGGGAGAGAAACACTAAGGTTATCACATACACCAACCTTCTTCAAGACTAATGAGAAATCCTCCTGTTGCCGTGACAATGCTGAAGAGGAAATCAAAATTAATTGCGGACGCTGGAAAGGCATATATCAAACAGCAGGCTAGCGTAATGGATACAAGCAGACAGGTGCTGTCTAAACCTCAAACCCAGCAGATACCATCAAATTAAAGATATGGTGTGATAACGGATATCCTTCAACGGTACCACAACTAAAACAAGGCGATCTTATTTATATATAACGGTTTCCTTTCCACGTGAACTCTCCACAACACAAAGGATCATCAGAGCATACACAACAGATTCACTCACACGGTTTAAAAATTGAATGCAGAAAATGGCAGGGATGGTAATGAAGACAGAGAATTTGTAATGTCGATGAGTAAAGGTCAAGCAATATTAGTTCTCAATGGCTGATACTGATAACTAGAGAGCAGGACCTATAGGTATAGGCTGAAATAATGTGGGTCTCATTCAATAACAGTACAATTTCATACTTCTTGTGCAAAATAATTCCAAATGTAAAAATTCCACCAATGACCTACTGCAAGGTCACTTCATTATTAAATAAATTAATGAATGCAATATTATAATGTATTTATAATTTTTGAAAATTATATTGCTATATGTTATAATCATATTACATTATAAATATAATGCAAAAATCTAATGTGACATATAAACATTATCAGAGTTGTAGTGCAGTGGACTGAGCAGCTGCTCAACAGATGTAATATAAGATGTAATATATATTATATATGTGTGTGTATGTGTGTGTGTGTGTATATATATATACATATATGATTTATCAGGCAAACAGCATGAACCATTTACACACAAATTTTATCCAAAAATACATTCCTATATAATGATAGTGAACGAAACTCAGTATAATCAGCCAAACTTCTCAGAAGAAAAAAAAAAAAAGTAGTCCACTCCTCACACTTTTTTCTTTTCCATCAGGCTAAAGACTTTTTTTTCTATGTCACACATTCATTCACGCTCTAGGTTCCCATAATTCATTAATTTAAACTGGGCTTTAATATTTAAAAAGGACCTAGAAAGGATTTCAGTGGATTCAAAGGATAACCAGCTCATATGTTAAAAAACCATCTGAGAGTCTTCAGGGGGTTTTCGCAGGAGGTCACCGAGAACTCTAGAACGGCATTAACCGTCTGGGTGCCCGTGCCAATCCTGAGTGAGAAGAGTAATGCTTAAAGATGAAAAACTCATAATCTTTAGATATTTCTCACTCTTTTACACCCTCCTTCATTCTCTGCAGATATTTTAAAAAGTAGCTTCTGGGCAGTCGGGAGGGAGATAACAGACAGAGACAAATTGCGTGTCTCATAAGACGTTTCATTAATCTCCAGACCTAAGAAGAGGAGGGGAAGGCGGGGCTAATCTAAACCATTACACGTTCCTCACAATCCAACTTAAATGAGTCTCAACATCTTTCCACACGCATAAAGAGACTCCTGGGAATATCAAACAAGGTGATCTTTCTTGTCCTCAGCCTACACTTCCATCTTCTTTTCGAATTTCATGGAAGTTTTCATGAAACATCATGCAAATGGGGCTAAAAGATCATTTCATTACGGCACATCACATGCAGCGAGAGCGTCCCTCTTTTTACTCTCTGAACTTGTTGCCGATCTTCAAGGAGATACTTAATATGTAACGGCAAGAAAAGTGTGTTTATGTATTGCTGAGACAAAGAAGGATTTGTGTGCAGGTAATTAGAGCATAATGGAAAACGGTGTGTGGGCCCTGCGTATGAATATTCATGGTATGCTGAGAACGTGTAGGAGGATCAACCTTGACCACCGTCTAATCACCACGCGCAGAGCCTCTGCCGTGATTTAGCGACGGACTCGATCATCCACAGCATCTCTTAATACCTCCACTCGTGGGCACACATAATCAATGTCCCTCATTAAGGTCACAGCCTTTGAACTCAGAAGATGAGCTGAGCCTCTTAAGGCAAGAAGAGCTGTGACAAAGAGACAAAATTTAAGGAGTTAGTCATCGGAAAATGTCACTGCATTTAGTTTAGTTGAGGCTTAAAGGTGCAATAGGTGATTGTCTTCAGAAACATTTTTGTTATGCTGGTTGAAAGTCTCTTCACATCCCGATAGCAATCATTAAGTTAAGTGGTCTAAATGTATTTGTCTGTATTTATATATTCTGTGGAAGGCGTAGGATCAAGAAATGTTTTAATAAGCTTTCCTACCTGCCTGTCAACGTATGTATTAGCATACCTCTGCGCACCCAGTTCGCGCAGACAGGATACGTCATCAGCGCGTTCACGCACGCTGTGCAGACAGTGCAAGAATGGTAGACAAACATAGGCTAAAGTTAGCATTTTCCAAGATCTCCTAATGCACCTTTAATGTTTCAGTACGGTCATTTTTAATAGCTACAAAGTTTAAGTAAGCATTGTTTGGTAATTGTTCACCACTCTGTCATTTCACCAAAGAAAAGCAGTCAAATGATGTGAGAGTGAATAAATGATAGCAATTTTAATTTTTGGGAGAACTACTTTGCCATACAAAATGCAGAAACTGCACATTCTGTCTAAAATTAAGATATATGATCAAAAACTCTGCTCCGTTCTGTGACAAACAGGTTTTGGTCAGCTATGTTAAAACTGATATCACATCCATTGAAATTTTGCAACCAAGTTTTGCTCTCAAATGGCAGTATTTGACTAATATTGTTTTATGTATTCCTTTTTTAAAAGTAAATAAGCCTTTAAAAGCAATTTTCTATCATTCAAATGCTACATAAAAATGCTGTTGTCTTCGCATTCCTCCCATCAATAAAACATGTATAATAACAATAATAATAACAGCAACAACTAGTATATTATTAATAATTATTATATATTATATTATATATTATATATTTTATATATATATATATGTGTGTGTGTGTACATTTGTTTATTTTTTCTTTTTGTGTGTTGCATGAAGCATTTGAATGACAGAAAGTATAGCTTTTAAAGGCTTATTTACTTATATATGTATATACACACACACACACACACACACTAGTAAACAAAACATACATACCTATAACATACATACATACACATACACACACAAGGGTAAAAAGTTCTAGCAAGCAAGTTTTTCTAGTTTCAAAGGGGGTGGGATGAGAGCTACTGGGTTCACCGTTTCTAAAAAAGTATGACATATGCATACTGGGAGTATTTATGTAATAGAATAATGTATATTTATATAAATTCACAAAAGAGTTTCTGTCATCATTATACCACAGAAGCATGAGCGAGCAAGAAAAAAAACATACACGTGGGAGAGAGAAACCATGAGACAGATTGAGATGTAGGGAGTTATAGATAGATGGCTAGAGAAAAAAAAAGTCTGTGTGAGCCTCTATGGTAGAGCTCATTAAGCAGATCTGTGTCTCATTAACAGGGAGCTGTCTCGTTATGTGTGATGCAGGCGGGCGTCTCTTTTTCCCTCTCTGTAAGTAGAGCCAGTTCATAGTGTCAGCTCCAGCCTACGGAATCTGCGCATCTCTGCAGGTAACACCACTATTAAGGGCCGAGAGGGCACACATAGAAATTTTCACATGTATTTGAGCTGACAGTTTTTTAGAGCCACTGTTTCGATACATATTAGATGTGCTTAATTACGTGGAGGTGGAAGCGAGAAAGCTCACAGCTCAGAAACAGTCAAGACATGGAGGAAACACAATGACCGGCTGCACTCTGAGTCCATTTTAAGCATAGCTAGTGCTAAGATTTGCAGTTTGACAAAAGGACACATTCTGATGTTTTGAATGAAAAATGTGTTTAAATAACATTTCGCTGCAATAGCCCCAAAACAGGAAACACATCACTCTGCTATAATGACGGGCCCAAAATACAACAGCAATCTACACTACAAACTTGATGGGGACTTCTACTGTTGTGGGCTTCATTTACACATCAACAACAGTCAACAAGACTGTAAAGTGTTCAGTTTGTCATTTTATAATATAGAAGGCAGTATTTATTTAGTATTATATTTATATGGTTTTGTAGCATTTAATATTTTGAATTTAACTTATTTTTTATTATTATTTTGTTATTTTTATTAGTTTTTTTATATTTCTATCCAGCTTTAATTTATTTATATTTCAGTTTGAATAATGTTAGTATTATAACTTAGTTATTTTATTTCAGTTGGTTGCCAAAGCAACATTTCTAAAGAAGTTATTTTTTTAATTTATTTTTTATTAATCAATCTTTATATTGTATTTTATTTCAGCTTTATTTCAATTCAACACTTTTTTTTAAATTCCAGGTGTTTTACTGTAAACAAAATATTTTTCAAAGTTGCAAAACTAAAATTACGCGAGTAGGAAAACATTATTTCAGTCTTTCTACTTCAAATATTCCCGTTTAATTCAATGTGTTTCTTAATGTTTCTTTGTCATTATTTGTAAAATTTACTAGCAATTTCTGAGTGAAAATTGTTTCACCACCATTTTTGTGTGTGTGTACAGAAATCACAGAAAACTCAACTAAACGTCAATTAAAGAATGGTTTTTGTGCACCTCAAGGGCATCATTTTGGACAAGACCATAGTTCAGCCAAAAATTAATGTGACTCATCCTGTAATTGAAGACAATGTCAAAGAATTATGGCATCCTAATAGGCGTCTCTGGTATAATCGTTCAAAACTGCAACTAAACTTCCGATTGAAAGATCTATGAACATAGTCTTACTTTTAATGAGAAGCAAAGCGGTTGCAAATGTGATCGGCTCGACACACTTCTGGGAGGAGATGCAGTTCCAGGTACCTTAGAGGCTGAACTGGCTTAAGTGGAGTTCCTAATTACAGCATTGATTCATTAACTCTATTACAAGTTAGAATTAATCGTTTCATTAGCACTCAGGCACAAGCTATGAATCATAATATGGAAGGATCCGGGCCCACTCACTAACATCAAGAGGACTGAACTTTTAGGAAGAAAAATAAAATATTAGCCAATTTGTTAATCTTATTTTTTTTAAATCCATACAGTAGTATTTCAAATAAATCTCAATCAAACAGGTGTCAGCAGGTGTGCATTTCTGACTGATGTGTTTAGTTTTTTTTTTTTTGGAAGAAAAAAAAATTAACTATGCATTTAAAACAATTACATTTAAAGGGATAATTCACCCAAAAATAAAAGTCCTATCATAAATTATTCAACCTGATGTCTTTCTAAATCCTGTTCCATCTTTGAAACGCAAATTACTTTTTTTTTATGAAACCTGAGAGATTTCTGTCCCTCCATTCAAAGACTAGGGTTGTGACGGTGAGGAAATTTTCCCACCGGTTAATCGACGTGTAACAACACCGGTAATACCGGTATCACCGCGGGGGCGGGGCGTTCCCTCTTTTTTCCTCGCTTTCCTTCGCTTTTAAATAGCTTGTAAAAGCGGTGTGCGCAAAGACCACTCCACCAAAACTTTGACGCTTCAAAAAGTACATAAAGATGAATTATGCAGTGTAATCCAAGTCTTGTGAAGATACATGATTGCTTTGTATGATAAACAGATTACTTTTATGATGCCTTTGTGACCTTTTTGAAGCATCAAAGTTCTGGTAGAATGACCTTTTATCGATCAGATTTCATTAAAAAAATCATTTGTGTTTCGAAGATGAATGAAGTCTTATATATATTAGGAATGACATAAGGGTCAATAATAGCTGACAGAATTGTAATTTTTTCATGAACTGTCCTTCAATAATAACTTAAAGAAGCTAAAGTTCAATTAAATGTCTCGCCGTCCCCGCCACATTCAAATGTATTAATTATGTTTATTTATTGATTCTGTACAATAATTCTTATAATGGTAATATATTATAAGCCGGAACACTTTACACAGGGAAAATTGCTGTTGCTCCACTCCACCCACGTACTCTGATGCGTTTAAGAGAAGTTTGAATTCCGTAGAATTACCCAGAATGACTTGATGTATAATATTACCCCTTCACGATGGTCTACCAACACATTCAGAGTGCATACAAGATGCAATTTACCCGAGGAGTACCATTAATGCTCATAAATGACAGGCACTGAAGTGCAATATGTGTGAAATACCTCCACATTTCCACAAGCAGACCACATGAACGCATGTATGTGTGTCAGCGTTACGTTACAGAACAATTGGAATCGACTCACCGGCGGGAGGAGGTGGTGGTGAAGAAGCCACAGGTTTTTCTACAGACGGAGGAGGCTGTGGGATAGTTTCAGCAGCGGAAGCGAAAGGAGCGACAAGTTCAGCTGGAGGGGAGGGGATGGTTATTTCTACAGGTGGAGCAGAGATGGGTTCAGAAGTGGTTTTAGTGATAGGATGGGTAGGAATGGGGGGAGGAGGAGGTGTGAAGAGCTCAATAGCAGGAGGGGAGGCAACAGAATCAGCAAGGGGAGGAGAAGCAATGGGTTTAGAAGATGGAGGAGGGGCAATTATTTCCACAGGTGGAGATGCTGTTATAAGCTCAGCTGTGGCTGCAGGTGGAGCAATGGACTCACCTGCAGGGGCTGATACAGCACCCACTGATTCAGGAGGAGGTGGGGGGAGAATGACCGGCTCTGCTAGTGGTGGAGGAGGTGCAGTAGTGGTCACTTGCTCAGGGAGTTTGACTCGCTCTGGCAAGGAAGAAGGTGGAAGGGAAGTGACAGGGTCAGGTGGAGGAGATATTGGCACCAGTGCTGGCAGAGGATCAACCACGGGAGGAGGAGCAGGAGGGGTTCTGGTGGGGGGCCGTGGTGGGCCTGAGGGTTCCCTCATGCGGTCGATGACCTTCTCCGAGAGCTGAAGAACAGAAATGGAGAAAACAAATGATAGTCTTACGAGCATAGCAAACAATATTCTCACTTTTTCTTCTGTATGTTAGAAACAATGCAAAATAAATGATGAGCAATGTAAATTCGAAATGAACATTCTGCTTGGCAGAGACTTGAGTAAAAGTATTTGGGTATTGGGGGCTTTTTTAAGATGTCATGTCAAGTTTACCAAAGAAATATAGGCCTTATACCCAATCATTCATTCATTCATAAATAAATAAATAAGACCCATTTAGTTGCTGGATTTCAATCAGTGTGAAATAGTTTAAAAATAATGTTTTTTAAATAGTTTTTTATATTTCTATTGTAATGTAGTAAAATGTATTTTATTCATAATTTAATAAATTATTTTTATTTCAGTTTTAGCAATTTTGTATTTTTTAGAACTGTAATATCTTAAATGTATTTAGTCGCACAATTATTGTTTTCATCAATCATTGCTGTCACTTCTGAGTATTTCTGTATATTTTTTACATTTTTGCATAAAATTAAATATATACACACTAAATTATTTAGTAAAAAAATTCTAAACTACATTCATATTCAATTATATTCATGTTTTCATGAACAATCATTGCTGTCACTTCTGAGTATTTCTGTATATTTTCTAACATTTTTGTATAACATATACATACATACATACATACATATACACACACACACACAAACAAACAAACACACTAAATTATTTAGTAAAATAATTCAAAACGATATTCTTTTTTATCTTGCACTTACCAAGGCTGCATCTACTGTTAAATAAAAATGTAAAATGTATACATATAAAGTTATGACTAAACATAAATAATAAATAATTTGGTGGTGTATACATGCCATGGCATGTTATTACAGGTTATGCTTGAAATGCAATTTTATACAATAACAAGGGGTGTCCACCAAAGGGTCTTTTTGCCTAATAATGGTGACCCCTGTTGTTAGTTTTGAACTAGTTTATGTAAACCCTGAAAACCACCTATACAAAACAAAAAGTCTCTAAAAACCAAGTGTGAATAAGTTGCAAGTTGAAAAATAAACACTCAAAACAAATCGTAAGTAAATTTAGCAATAGCATCAACTAACATAAACGGCTGTGTGAAGGGTGACACTGTTTAACCTGCTGTATAAATAATAGTTACGGGGGGCGTGAACACAGTGCTGTCATGCTTGGCAGTGTGATGCCTGAACTGTAACAGGTGTTTGCTAAACTAATTCCTCTTAGGTATGATGCTTATGAAATGCATAACCTTGTATTGCAGCTAAACTTGGTTTTCCAGGTCAACTGAAGTAAACGTCCAGTCAAGGACAAAATGTTTATCCAGTTAGGTAAGTTAAGACTATTAGAGGCCTTCATCACGATCCTGCGCATGCATTCAAATCACAGGTGAATTAAAGCCATGCGTCAGTATGCGTGATGTGCATTTGACAGCTGGAGGAAAACAGACGTGTGTCACTCACCCTTATGCCCTTCACTATCGTTATGTTCTCATTCTCATCCGACTCAAAAGACACGCGGCGCGTGCTGTAGTTGGCTCCCATTCCTGGTCAAACAAGCCCGCTAGTGTTTAACAAGCTAGTTCATTTAAATTTGATCAGTAGTTATGAACTTCAAAGAGTTGACAGCTCTCGAGTTGTTACGCGCGAGCACCAGGGCCGCACGCTCCCGTTCAGAAACACACAGCGCTTCCTCCTTTAGTCCCTCCCACTTGGCACAGGCGAAGAAAGACGATTCTCATTGGTTGAGCGTAAGTGCTTAGTGTCTCTATTGGACAACATAAATAGAAGAAAAATATAGTGTATTTTAAAGAATGTTCATTTATTAGTTTATTTATTCATATTAAAAGTACAATATACGAAATTAATGTCTATTTCAGAGCAGAATCATTTTATCGAATTTGCTGCTATTTTTCAACAGGTCTGTGCTCTTATTAGGCTGAATCTAAGTTGTAAATGATGTACTTTATTTGTCTTCTACTTGAATATTCTCTTAATTCATATTTTGTAAGGTTTCATTTTTCAATTCTAGTAAAGAAAAATTGAAAGAAAACACTCCTCGTGATTTTTTGACATTTATTAAACCTCCTTAAAAACAAGCATTATCATGTCAGCATATATATACATAGTAAATACATATATGTACATACAAATCTTTACAAAAATATTTACAAAAACATATAGAAGCAAATTCCAACATAAATTAAACTTCAGAGGGTTTAATCAATGCATTGAAATATGCACACACACATACATTATTATTCATTAAAATGACTATATATATATATAGTCAAAAAGCAAATAGATATAGTGCTGTGCGATATTGAAGAAAAATGCGATATGCGATAACTCATTAAATAATGCGATATTCGATATGCGATACGATAATGCTTAAAGTGCCACATGCTCAGATGAAACAGTTTTACTCAGCTGTTGCTGAGTCAGTTCTGTGAACTTCTATAACGATCTTGTGTCATATAGGCTATATATGGTTATTTGTATGTATGTATTTATGTACCAAGAGTTCCTGTAAAACCACAACAAATTCCTTGTGTTTGTGCACACTTAAGTGGTGAATAAATCTCATTCTGGTTCTGATTCTAATAAGAAAGCACCCCTACAACAACTTCTGACAGTGAACGGTTATGTTTTACTTAAGCATTACATAAAAATGTCATTTTAACATTAGTGTAATCATTTTAACATGAGTATAGGAACTGAATAATAAAAAGGAAAAATAAAACACTACGTAGTATTTACTCTTTGAATTCAATATGCACTGATTCTTATTTAAACTACAAAAGTTATTTAGGTAAGAGCAGTGTGTGATTTTCTCTTTGTCTTTTGTTCATGCCCCAAATATTGCAAGCTGTAGCGATATGCATATTGCGATATGTTCATCTGCGATATTTCGATTTCGATATATTGCACAGCCCTGTTCAAAAATCATGTTTTTTTATTATTAAAATTATGTTTTTAATGTGTTTTATTGTGTTAGTTAGTTGTATTTTTTTGTTATTTTTAACCTAATCAATATAACCCAATATATATAAGCAAATTATAACCTACATTAAACAAAGTAATTTAGAGAGTTTTAAGGCATTCCCTTTTTTTAGCTGCTTTGAGGTTTTTAAAATAATTTTTAAATGCCAAAAAGCTTTAAGAAATTATTTTTGTAAAATAGGTACATTCTGTCTTAGAAGCACTTAACAGTATTATAACTGAAAAGATGTTCCTGAAGTCCTCATGTCAAATTGGAGCTGTGTGCATGTAGAGATGTGGGTCCTCTGTCCTTTAGTGGGTGGCTGTCTTTGTCTACATGCCCTCAGGTGTCATCATGACAACCTTTTATCCTGCACTAGGTGATGAGAAATAACCTCAGTCCTGTGTCATCAGCAAAGGACAGTAGATTGCTCAGACATGATGGGCCTTGGAGGAAGCTGATAAGAACTTCTGGATCTGACTAGGCTCAGAGGAGCTAAAAGAAAAATAACCCCAGAGTCTCCGTGATTGTTTCCTTTTTTGAAGGGGCACAAAATTGGCCACTGTGTTATCTCTGCTGTCCTCGGACACATCAGTCAAAGAGGAGACTGCCAGATCGACCCTTTCCCACACAATCAATGCCCTTTCCTCTGTGGTTTGTTACAGCAGAGATCGTCAGGAGATAGAGGGTAGCAGGTCCAGAGCAATATATCCTAGAAACAGAAAGCAATTAACAACCTACACCTTTCAATCTGTCTTTCTCCCTCCCTGTATGTCTGGTGTGTAAAATAATTTTTCACATTCCTTTGAGTCGGATCTTTTGATTGAACCAGTTCACAAAACTGATTTGTTCAAGATTAAATGTACATTAAGTTACTTTTAGTACATGCTGTATTTCAGTTAAAACAATAAGCATTTTCAGTTAAAAGATGTAAATGAATTTTAGTATTGTCTAATATATAAAAATTATATATAATGAATAAATGAAAAAAAATTATTACCTAAATTATGGCTGCTTAAAATGAAGTGGGAGAAATGAGACTGTTTGTTATTAAAAAGTGATATAGTGAATAAACGGCAAAATAAAATAAATAACAGTGTTTTTATATTTTATTGCAAAAAAGAACAAAACATCTACAAGCAAAATGACAGTTAACAGAATATTCTAAGAGGATTACATTTAATTTAACAAAAGAATGAACTAAAGCATATTATTACACAGTAGAAAAATGGAATATCCAAAGTTATTTAAAGAATGCAAATATATACCAACTTCTTTATTGAAAATAAAAAATTAGGTAAATGAAGGTATACATTTTTAAATAACATTTATGGATGTACAAACGATTGTAGGCGTTTTCAGCAAAAAAAAAGGAAAAAAAGAAAAAAGACTACATTTCCTACATTTCCCTACGATCCCTGTACTATCAGCTGATTTTGCTGAAGGCGGCTTCCCATTGGCTGAAGTCCGTCACGAGGTGTTTGGGTGTAGTAACGGAAAGATGGCAGCTGACACAGGCAGATACAGGAGCGCTGTCAACAAAAGCAAAGACCCTTCCGGTTTGCTTATATCTGTAATAAGGTGAGCACGATATTTTTACAATATCTGTGTCTGCCAGCTTGACTTTGCCTGCGTTAAATCTTTGCACCCGGATTTTCTAAGGAAAAGGACCAGAATGGATAACCGCTTAGCATGTTTGCTAACGATACATCCTGTTATTCTTTCATATTTTGTTATTATACGCGTATGAGTTGTGTAACAACTACATCTTAAGAACCTTTACGTTGCATCAGCTGAAGTTTATAGTTTTCTGTGAGGTCTTCTGAATGACACGTAGTTTGTAGGCATACTTCAAAACGTGTTTAAATGGAAAGTGCTTATGTTTTGACAGGACTGAGTTTCAAAACAGAGGGAACCTAGGGAACTGTTTACTTAAACAGCACTGTTTGAACATCATAAACGCAGTCTGATTATTTGTCTTGGTTGTCAACACTTAAACAACACAATCACAATATGCAAGTGCAATAATATGAAAGTATAACGATAGAAAATCGTATAGAGTGCAGTGGAAAATGTAGTATATCTATATATAGTATGTGATGTTAACTGTATGATAAGTAATATATTTAATTTATTTTATTTTATTTCAAATTATTTTTTTGTGGCAGGG